ATTTAAGAGGTGACAGGTGCACCTCATAATCTGCAAATCTGAATTTTCCTTTCTTAAGATGCCTGCAACACCAGTCTTCAAGCCTACCAATACTGGTGCATTATCGGCACCAAGTGCTAAGCAATTATCCAGACGGGCTACATTTTCTTTTAAAGTTTTAATAATTAGCTGTGCTATAGTAAAGCCTGTCAAATGTCCTTCTAAAGTGGGGACAGAAAGTAAACTGCACTCATTTTCTGAAGACTCTGGATTAAAAAAAGAAACACTAATTGGATACAGTTTTGAATCGGTATTACTGATTCCATCCGTATAAAGGCAGAACGGAGCTGTTTTAATGCAATCAATAACTGAAGATTTATTTTTCAAATCCATTTCTTTAACAATTGCACCTGTTTTGGTTCTTGCACTTGAGTATTTCTTAGCGATTTCACTATCGGGAAACATTTTTCTAAATAAAGCTACAGCATGATCCGATGCATTCAGTGGCAGGTTGTGCTCCAGTAAAAAGGCAGAGAACAGATATTCTGCATCAATAACTTTTTGGTTCTTTGCTTCCCAACAAAAATGTAATTTTTCGTTTTTTTCAAAACAACTCATTTTGTGCTTGTGTTTTTGTGTACGCACATGTTTGAAAACATCTGCCCTTTCACCATACGAAATCGAAAAATCGCAATGACAGGCAGTACACATTGCAAATCCTTGAGGAAATAATGGAAGGAAAGTTACTGTGTAAGATTTTTGAAACGTATACGAGTATTTCACCTTTCTCGCAGACATAACAAAAGATGATAATTGCTAAAACTATTTTCCGAAGGCACGTGTACTCACACAACTCAGGACAAAATGACCGAAATAACTAAAGAACATCCAAATAACAGCTTGCTTTGTCCTCATTGGTTAATATATGCCAGGTGACACGCAGTGGAGCACGATGCCCATTGGAGAACTGGAGAATAACTTTCTGGATACGTATATGCTCTCACTCACAAAGCAGAATTTATCTAATTCGCAAGGTTTTGTTTTAGATATAATCTAGAGAAAATTCAATTGCTTTCAGACGTCCAAAATCATTTTTTTTTTTTTTTTTTTTTTTTTTTTGTTTTGTTCATATAACAAGGTATTAAGACAAGTTCCATACAAATCGTGAGAAATTTTAAGAATAAGAAAAAGTCGGGAGAAATATATTGTAAATCGGGAGAGTTGGTAACTCTGCATTTGTTATATTTATAATAATATAAGTCTAGAAGAAATAATGAATTACTAAGTTTATTATTTTTAAAGCTATGTTAACTTTATAAGACTTTCTTGGTCGAATAGAATAGATAAGATAATGATAACAGGTTTGAAACTTTTTCAGGTTCCATGCTTCAAAATTCATATTAAATCCCTACAGTACTAAGCTTTAAATATGATATTCTCAGAATCTATTCATATTAGACAGATGTTACATGACTTCCCAATTTGAATATATATACTAATATACACTCTTTTGCAGACAAAATTAAATATGTGTATAGCTCATACACAAATAATAAAATGATTAAAAAATCAAGCTTATAGGACCTGCTCATTGCTCACAATCACCCATTGAGTGTTCAAATCAGTAGTTGGTTAAACCGCCCCTGGCGGCAATGCATGCTTGAATTCGTCAAGGCAAGGCGTGGGAGAGGTTCCTAATGTCATCCTGTGACACATTCTGCCAGGCATTCATCAGTTGTTGCTCCATATCTGCGATATTTTGTGGTGCCTGAATCTGGCTGCCTACCATATCCCAGACATACTCGATTGGTGAAAGGTCTGGTGACCTTGCTGGCAAAGAAAGAGTATCAACTGCACACAGCCCACAGATATGTAAGCGGTATGTGGCCTGGCATTATCTTGTTGGAAAATGGTCCCAAGATGATGTGCCATGAAGGGTAATGCAACCAACCGCAGGATGGTATCAACATATTGTTGAACTGTTAAAGAGGTACGGAGGATGACTAAAGATGACCTGCTGTCATAAAAAATAGCATTCCACATCATCACACCAGGGGTTATTGGCTGCATGCCTTTGTAAAACAAAGGTTGATTGGGACCACTGGCCCCTACCTCTCCAGACACGAACATGGTGGTCATCTGCTTCAAAAGTGAAGCGGGATTCATCGCTGAACACTATACGATGCCAGTCTGATGGCAGCCATGATGATCGGCTGCTACAACACTCCAGACGACTCCGCCAATGTTGTGGGGTCAAAAGCAAACGTCTTAAAGGCCTCTGCGAGCATAACCCTGTCTCAGACAAGCGGCGTGAGATGGTGGACGGTATCACAGGAAAGTATAGACATGGCTGTAGTGCGTTGAATAGTCGACAATGATACCGTTGGGGTGGTTTGGGCCTGGCGAACAATTATCCTATCTTGCCTCGCATTTGTGCTCCTTGGCACTTCCAGAGGCTTCATTTCGTCGGCAATTTCCTTGTAGCAACCATCGCTGCCAACATCTTTGTACAGCGGTGTCTGTACACTGAATGTGGTGGCCTCTTGCTCGGTACGACCACCCAGCTTCACGCAACCCTACAATGTGACCACGTTCAAAGTTGTTGTCTACTGGTATTGTACTTTGTGAATTGCGCACTAGAAATGTGCGCTATGATCGCAATTCCTGTTCATTTGCATGTTTGGTCAAGATGTTTTGCATATCAAATTTCGTCACGATCGCAAAAGTCCTTCTTGGTGCTTAGATTTTTTTGCAGTAGAGTGTATTTTGAATTTTCTGCATTATTCAATAAACAGTCATTTTCGCTTCCAAATTTGGTATAATAAATTTGGTATATGAGATAAAATTACTGCTAATTCTCTGATTTAGATGTGATCACTAAATTTCAGAAGCAATTTCAAAATATAATTTCATTTTTATAGGAGCATGTAAACAGTGATTATAAAATAATAAACTAATTTTAAAAGTATGAAATGTTTATTATTTTAAATAAAGACCTGTACATCAAAAAACAAAACAAAAGAATTAAAAACTAAAAAATGAAATGATCAGTTAATTTCATTAAAAATAGATGAATTATTATGGGATGTGCTTTATAAGTACAGTAACATCCATCTTCATCTCGAAAATTAAACAAAGCATACATATTTTTTGTACAAGTTTTAGAAAACTTTAATCAAATTTCAATGAAAGTATCTTTACTCTTTTAGAGTTTAAGATGGATGACTGTAATAAATTATATATAAAGATCAAAACAGAAAATATCTATGCAATTTTAAATTCACATATTAAAACTATGATGCTGATAAATGAAGCAGCATATCATAAGGGAAGGAGGGAATTGTGCATTACATACTAAATTAACAAACACAAAGCTGAGATAATTAAATACAGAAATGAATTACATATATTTTAATTAATCCTGGCAACTTAAGATTCACATTAAATAACAAAAGTTTGTGTTACAACTCAGTTAAATATAAATAATAAATATATTTTTAAACAAGTCATTTTCAGGAGGGGGTACAAAATACAATAATAAAGAATACATGATAAAGGAAGAGCATATGTAGTTTATAAAGAAGCACCAGATACAAAATATGTATTGAATTAGAGAAAATGTCATGATAGTTTCAATAACTTAGCAATAGCTACAACATTTTAATGCATAAACTTCTCATCCTTATTGATTTTGTAATAAGGATGATATTGATTTCAACCTTTCAATAAATTAGCTGTAGTAAATATTGGATCAATAGACATATATCAGTTTAAAATATTTTATAAATAAATTTAATATATACTTAAGAAAGATACACCAAACAAAAATTAATAGTTGACATAATTAATATGTATATATGCATGTGTATGTACCTCTCCTTTATATATATATATATATGTATATACATACACACATATACAGAACCAAAAATCCATTTTGGAATTGAAAGGTCCCACACCATGTACATTAAGTCCTCTGCTAAAACATTGAATTCAACAAAACTGATTCTAATTCCTTTTAAGAAAAGCTTAGGGACATTACCAATGTAACGCTTGCTGCAACGTAGTGAGATAAGAAAATGGCCATATGCATCATCTATTTACTATAAGTAAACATTCAAAAATACTAATGTGAAATAATTACAAGTTGTACATCATTGATTATAAAACTGCTTTAACGCAAATATAGTTATCGATAAATTTCTGTTACATCTCTACATAACATATCTATGACAAATAATAAAAACGTTTGTTACTCATCTTGAGGTTATAATGTCAGGCAGGCTTATTATTCCTTCATTCAGGCTTGGAATGACAACTCCATATATCAAGACAAAATCTCTGAAGTGACTCAAATCACAAATGTTTAAATCTGGCAAATTAACAGCTTGTTACTATGCTGCCCTCCTCCAAAGCATTTCTGATAGTATAATTATATGAATTATGGCTATCTCAAAGTAATCACTGGATGGATAATGTGCACCACAAATTTTGAAATGACTTTCATATTCCAAATATTTACTAACACAGATGGCTAAAAATGCTCTCAAAATGGTAGGTCTAAACTGACTAGCTATATTTTTATCTCGGGATATGTAACTGTCAGTCCAAGCTGGAGCACAAAACCAATGAGTGAAATAATACATACATTAGTGGAGGGATAAATTTTCAGCAAGCATAATATTAATTTGCATCTTATGCAGGAATTTCCACAACCAATTTATAATTTATAATTCAAGATGTTTAACTGATGGGCGTTACTGCATTTCTGAACGTAGATTCACAGTATTAGATGATGTGAAACTTTTGACCTATTCAAATATGATGATCTCCAGTTTTTCAGAAATCAGCAGGAGTGAAATAATTTTTCATTCAGTTCATTATGTTTTATTTACTACAAACAGACTTAATGGATATGTACTGGGATCATTCATTCTAAAATAAAAGAGCGCATGCGGACTTTCCTTTGAACCCGGAATATTCATTTATTTAAATTACAAATGCATCTATGGTATTGGATATTCTTTATATAATACTAAAACCACCAGAAACCTATGATAAGTATTACAAAATGAAGAAAAATTGCATTTTTATTAAAAATGAATGATGTTGATGAGAAACAGACTTATTAAAGTACAGTTTAATTTCTCACATTTTGTAAACGCACAAAATGTTATTGTACTCTCATTGTTTTTACATTTTATCTTATATCACAAATTAACTTAGTCCACTTTAATGATAACCAGAATGTCCTTTTTAATGTAAGTTGGTATATACAAATAAGGCAACAACATTTGCCTTGTTCATGGACGATGAAGATAAAATTTCATTACAGACTGGATGCTAGTAAAACAATTTTTTTCTTTTACTTCTTGTATAAAATGACATATGATAGAAACCTGGAAGAGAAATATTATTATTTAATAACTAAATATTGAGGCAAATATATGGAGAGGTACATTAAAAAAATCCTACTTCATCTTATGTGGTATATGATATAATATATATATATATATATATATATATATATATTATCTACATAATACAGTTAATTTGAAACTCTTAAAGAAGAATAATTAATAACTATTTAACCAAAACCCATGACACTTCTAGCAATCTAAATGATTTAGAAGATAAACAATATTCACTTGCATATTTTACCATCTTGTTTCACTAGTTTTATTTCTAGAAAACTGTAGGGAGAAAATTACACAATGTATATATGACATAATAAAAGCAAGGAAAGGAAAAGACGGAACACTGTTGATACTGATTGTATCGTAAGCTATGTGTTGACTTCGTAAATAAAGCTTGGCAATCGAGGCGATTTTAATTCCATTTTTATTTCCAATTGACATTATGTGGCCACAGATCACTTGGCACCCTAATCGTGCCTGTTCAAGAACATTTATGTTATTGATACTATTGCAATATATCAACGTAGTGAAATTGCGCCCAAGCTCAGCACAGACAGAAGCTGAAGTGCGTAGTTGTGAAAGATGGAAGCCCGTGAAGAGAAAAGTTTTGGTTTACAATGGTAGTTTCAGTTCCCAATTATTACATCATCAGAGCTGCACAGGCTATAGAATGATCTAGAAATGATGCAATCCAGAGAAGTTATTGCGATTTTTAGAATAGAGAGGAAGAATTAATGTTTTACCATTAGTTTAAATTATTATTTTGATTCACATATTTTTTATCTTACATATATATTGAGGGAAAGGCTTACGGGGAAGAACCTGGCGTGTTAAAAGCAGATAAGAATAGTACTATATTTCAAAAAGATCAATTATGTTTCTTTAATAATGTTGATTTTGATTTAGACATCATGCTTTGCCATTCATTCGTACATTTCCTATTTTTAACATAAAATAGAAAATTTTAAAATCATGCTGTTGAAAATGTCACAGAAGATGTATGAAGGACAGAAGTACACCAATATATATGGTATCAATTGGCATACCTAACGCATAAAATACTGCACTTTGATTTTCTTTTCTACCTAATAATTGATAAAATTAACCAACTGCCTTACAGTACAAAAAAGATATACTTTCTAATAATTTCTCAAATTAGAAACTACTATCATAAATAATGTTTATACTTAACTGCCTACAATTAAAAGAAAAATAAATTATTTGCATTTCTTCTTTCCTTTCTTTCATTATACTATTTTCATTATTCATGGTTTCCTTACCATTTGAACTGATTTGTTTTCAAATATTTTTTTGTACTTTCAGGAATGGCAAAGTACATTCACTTTCCAAATCAGCATGATTACACAATTAACTCTTCATGTAAAAAATACAATTTAAGAATGTCTTGTATAGATTAAAAAAAAAAAAAAAGTGAGATGAAATCCCTCTGACAAAACACGACACAAAGATTTAAAAACTAGATTTTACACGCAAAAACAAAAATAAATAAATCCAGCATGAGATTTTTGATTTAGGAAAAATGTTTTGAAGTACTTTTGTCATTAATTTATAGTTAAACAATTTTGCCCAAAAAATATGCTTTGGATTTTTTATGGCTATAAGCCAATTTCTTATTCATTATATTGCCTTATACATAAAAATATTTTAATAGTACATAAATGGGGAAAAAATTATAAAAGTATGTTTTATAGAAATTCTACTGCATGAAGTGTAATGAAATGCAGTTTATTGGCAGCTCAAGGTCAATGTTATTATATTGTCCAGGGTTTTTCTAACCTTTTTTTTTTTTTTTCCCTTTCTGTAACCTTTCTCATTCTTGACCCAGTAAAAAAAATGTTTATGGCTTACCGGTAACTAACTTATTAGAAAATTAAACAAATTTTAATAAAATATTTTTTCTTTATTATGAACGCAACAAAAATACATAAAAAATGAAAAATAATAAAAAAGTTTGACTGCAAAGTGTGATGCTATTTCTTGTTAATTAGAACTTTCATGTCTACAGAAAAAGATCACTACTTTATTCTTAAATCTAGTTCAACATCTAATTGGTTTCTGTACTTATTTTTTGGAAAAGCAAGTGTTGAGAAGGCTGTTTCACATTTGTAAGTAACAATAAAAGACATTATAAACTTAATCACATTTCGTGCCAAAAATGGATACTTTTCACAACAGGATTACTAAAAATCTGTCAATGGTATTTTGCCAAAGCGGTCTTTAAATGCTGTATCACAAGACACAGGGTTCATAGCCACATTTTAATTAAAAAAGTAAGCACCTATAAGCACTTTTCAAGCACATTTTAAGGAAAAAATAAGCACCTGTCTAATTACATTATACACAACTGCATAACCTTAAAAGAAAAATTAGACTTGTAATTTAAAATATGAGCAATGCAATATTTATTAAGAGAATAAGCATTACCTCAACAATGGAAAACAACTTTTTTTTTTTTTTTTTTTATTTTAAATGACAGTTCAATTTACAGAATTAGTTTACAATGAGAGAAAAAAAACTATGCAGAACTAAACTATATTACAAGATTTAATGATGATATTTCAGTTGAAAATATAGAAAATAAATAATAATAAGCCATATTAATTGTATTCATTTTGGCACCTAATAATAAATACAATTTATTTTTCCACTCATATTAATATTTAAATAATTTAACTTAAATCAAAATTCTGAACATTTTCTAAATTTTGATTGCATAACAGTTTTCCCTTAACATATATTCCAAGCAAAGTAATTTAAGTAAAAAAGAGGCACATTTCTGAAATCAGAAGACGGGAAATTGCTTCATTCAGTCATCCTTTAACAGTAAAAGCTTAATTAACCCGCATTCTCGGAAATTCCCGAATATTCCAGATAGTAACTGGAAAAAGAGGAGTGAGGGAGATTGTAGCCGTTCTTTAGATTTCTCGGCCAAATAAATGATTTTGACATTTCGATATGTGCATCATATAAAAATAGACCAACGGAACTGAGAAATATTCTGCTTAGAAAGTACAGTAAAACTCTTTTAAGTGTTCATAAACAAATCTCAGACTGAACATCAAAATTAATCAATGCAAAATACCGCAAATGTTATTGCGCAATACATGCGGCATAATTCTTCCATATGTGATATTACGCATTCGGAATCAACACCTGCCGGTATTCGGAGAATAAAGAACTAAATAAAGGGGGAAAAAAAAGAGAAAGAAAGAGACTTACTAATCTGGGTTGTTTCTGATTCTAATTTTCAACAGACTGTATTAAATTTCCGGAATAGAATCAATCTTCGCTTGGGTTGGGTAGACCGCAAAAACTTTTAGTCCTATTCAATCCAGACTGGACAGTGTATTTAAGAAAGAAAAGTTGTTTATTTAGTTTCGGCTTTGGTACGGGGAAAAAATGCGCATTCATTAAAAACAAAGGATTAAAAAAAAGCACTAAAAACAAAAAAATAAGGGCTTTAAAGAAAAAGTAAGCACCTATAAGGGCCTTTATATTTTATTTTCAAATATAAGGACTTATAAGCACTTGTAAGGATCGCTACGAACCCTGAGACAGTTAAATTATTGATTCAATACCCCAAGTCCAATAATTTCATCTTGATACTGCATAGATCATGGAGATTTTCTACATCACATATACAAAAGAAATGACTCATCTGGTCTGTAAGCCAGATGCACAGCTAATTTTTTTTTATATTCTAAAATCAAAGAACAGTTACATAGAACATCATTTCTTATTACAGACAAAGCAACTCGTACTTTTGTCCAATGCAATGAGAACTGTGCCTTTAACTATTTAGAAGGCTGCTTTAAGAAATGATTTTGAGTTAACATTTAAATATACTAATTGTAATGGGACATACTCTGAAAAAGTATAAAGCATATGCTTCAGGTTTGTCATGTTTAATTTCTGTCTATCTAATACTTTCAGTTCAACCAGCAGAGATATCACTAATATTAAAATTATACACACCATTAATATCTTTTCTTGCAAAATTACATTTCTAAAAATTTCACATATTATTTGAATTTCACTCATGTCACAAAATTATTTTGTGTCATATGCATTCATTCATATTCAGTTTTTATATAATGCTCCATTAACTTTATTCATCAGTTTTTGAGAAATCAGTATTTTTGTGCATGCAAAGCTAATTTCAAATAGACAGTACTTAATAACATGTATGAAAAAACATTTATTATGACTTCAAAACCATTAAGTACTTTTTTCCAATCATAATTAAACTATTCTTACAGAACTAGAAATTTTCTGTTGAAAAATTATAAAGTAATACTTACAAATGTGGTAAATTTACACGCCTAGGAAGGTATGATTTACTAAAACCATCATGCTGAACTCCTGTAAATAGAAATTAAAAATTTACATTAAAAACAAATAGAAGAGTTCCTATTTTTCTCTATATACAGTATATGTACGATAAAAAAATATGTAAAGGATAAATTCTAATTTAACACCTTGACTGCCACCTCAAGTTCATAGAAAAATTTCTGTGGCAGGCCATGTGTGCTGCTACACTAACAGTTGTTTCTGATCGTAGCTGAAATAAGTATGTCTATATAACACCTATAAGCATGTCTATATTATATATAGCACATTTGATTACACAGTACAAAGTCTGAAATCCAGACTTGTCGGAACTTCGGCGATTCCAGATTTGGGATTTTTCGGGATATTAGATCATCAGTTTAAATCTAGTAAGATGGCATGTAGAAATTATTTTTTCTTTTCAGTAACTTCTCTGTCACTTTCTTCAATATTGGTAGCGGTATTTTCTAGATCTAGAACCATACTACAGACTTTTCCATTCATTAATTGATTGATGATTGAGAAGCACTGTCATTACAATGAAAAACTTCTTTAATATCATGTTCATTACCACTTCTCCACATTTATTTACAAAATCCTTTAATTGAAAAATTTCACCTTTGTTTTGCGATATCTCAAAACCTTTAAAAATTAGCAGCTATCATCATCAAATTTAGCTATCATTCACTATACATATTTGGCTATGCATCATAAACTTGGAGACTAAGTTGTTCCGTTAAATTTTATCTTGCTTCTATCATGCACTAAGACAATTAAACCTGAATTGTATTAGTTATTTATTATACTTATGTCTATTTCTTGCACATGCTTACGGCTTATCAGAGTTTTGAATAAATAAATTCCTACATATTCTTAAGCCTTATTGAAAGCAGGTGCTAGATATCTTACTGCCTGATGCAGTCTCTGTGGGTCCTAAATTCTAAGCCCAGTGCAACCATACAAGCCCTAGTGCTGGTTCTGGGTTTATGTGAATAGCAAATCAGTTACTCTTAATTCAAGAAATTTTTCTTAAATTTTTCCTCATCAATATTTTTTAGCGCATTTAACTTAATTCTGTAATCATCGCTAAGTGTAATGCCAACATAAAAGGTTACCATACTACTTTATTATTCAATTACTAACATACAAAAATTGTTTAGACATTGCTACATAAGTCATTACTCAAGTTGAAATGTGTTGACAAACAAAACATGCGGTGATGAAAGAAATGTCAACATAAAAGGTTACCATACTACTTTATTATTCAATTACTAACATAAAAAAAATTGTTTAGGCATCGCTACATGTGCCATTACTGAAGTTGAAATGTGTTGACAAACAAAACATGCCGTGATGAAAGAATGTATAATAAATAATGAGTGGCCAGATTGGCATCAGATCAACGATGTATCTACGTGGAATGTTTCAGTTTGAGATGTGTGCCAAGCAGATACACAGCAACAAAGCCCAATTACTGATGGTACAAATTTATGTTAAAATGAATTTTTCTTTCAATAGCAGGGTATTTTATCTAGTGTCAAAGTGAAATTAAGAATCAGAACTCTCCAGATATTACATTATGTATGGAGGGGGGGGGAATCAAATGCACATGTGTAAAGCCTACGAGAAAAAAGTAATTGGTGGTTTTGAGGTACAGATTTCAGACTTTGTACTGTATAGTGTAATTGGCATAATATAGGAAAATATTTCTGTAGTTGTATTCTGTTCTATGTAGTCAGCATATTATTGCCATCTAAAAAAGTTTTTCTGGATAAAGCAATAAACATGCTTGCAGATAATGCTACTCAAATAATAGGAGTTCATAATGACCAATCAAAGGCACCAAAATATGTAAAAAAGATGACAAAATTTTGTCCAGATTGCCATGACCAAGCAGAACTTCCCACAGAATGTTTAAAAGCATTAAATTGTAAATAATTTTTATAATAAACCATGTTTCTGTATTACTTTTATAACAATTTATTGGTCTTATTATATGCTGTGAAATACTTTTCCAAATACCTGCGCTTTACCTCTTAAGCACTCACACGGTCACCTGTCACACACTCACATAAGTGTCACCTGTATTTGGGTGACGTGACCTATGACGTAGCAGTCAACGTGTTGTATTAGCAATAGCCTTCTGATGTTTATGCTTCTTAATTCAAATAAATAAATAAATAAATAAATAAATAAAATAAAAAAGAAGAAGAAAGAAAGAAACTCTTTTTTTGGGGGGCGCAAGTGTGATTTTGAGACTAATCCATGTCATGTGACTCTTACATAACAGTGATGATGTAAATGGAACTAAATCTCGAGCCCCCAATAGTAATTTTGCATCAGTATTAATTATTAAGTTAAATGCACTGAAAAGCAAACCTAACTCATTCTAAAATAAAATTTCATCCTGAACAAAATTGAATTTACTCTCTGGTCTTTAGCTTCACTGGAATGTCATGTTCTCAGAACCATGAAATACACACCCAACTCTTATTATATGGTAGATACACAGTAGACTTTAAACGATTTCCTTACAAAACCATGAAAAAAAAATATCACGTAAAAAATACATGCGGCATATGGTAAATTTGGGGATATGTTCCACAACTTTAAAAAGTCGTGCAAGATGAAAAAACTCTAAATATTTCCCCAAAACACTGCGCAAAAAAACTAAAAATGAAATACATAATATAATAGTCATAAAACAAAATCCTTTTTATTTAAAAAAAAATTAAAATTAGGGTACAGTAAAAATTCAGTCCATAAGTACATATAAAAATTTAAATTGAAATTAGGAATAAAAACCAATTTTGCAACTATTCACCACTACTTGATAACAAGCATGCACGTTTATTATGAAATAGATAAAAAATGCTACCATCAGTAGATATGTCTGTCAAATACATCTTTATAAAGAAGAAAAGATTCCATAGATGTAATGTAAACCAGTTTCGCTATGGTGCCGCTATACTGAAGAGGGGCCAATTCTCGTCACCAAATCATCAAGTTCATTGGAAGGAAACTGCGTAAAATAACGACATGAAACCAAAGAACTAACAGAATTCGTTCTTTGACAAAGTTTTCGCTAGAATTTGAACTCGGATTGAAACTTACTTCGAAAGTGATGAGCAATTCAGGGAAGTTTTACTTTCACTTGCTGTTGATTGATCCACATTGCAGTTTGATGATTTAATTCATGTCGATTTGACAGGGGGAAAAAATGGCGTCAGAAGTTTGAACTCAATAAACGTGACCTCCTTCACCTTATCAAAATCTGTTTTGCGCATGCACATAGGGCTGGATGGATGCCCCTCTTCGGTGTGGCGACTTTGGTGAAACTTTTTTTTTTTAACATTACAAATTCTTTGATGAAGTAGACAAAGTCACTAACACATATGTGAGTTTAAACCGACCAACTTCTGACCCCGCTGTCAAAATTAGGGGGGTTTCACGTTAGGACAAAAAATGAATGTAAACAAATGTATTTTTTCTTATTGATGAACTGTGAAATCGTGTTAAAAAAAAAAAAAAAGAAAAGAGCTCGGTGCATATGAATTTGCTGCAGATCCCAAAAGCCATGGAAATAACTCCTTCAATAAGTTGAAGTGCTTTGTATGTGTGCAATACCCATATATCTGAGCACTTTGATGATCCTACATAAAAATATTCTCAACTTTATAAGCTGTTGTGTTAGTTTGTTTCCAGATAGCCATTATTGCGCTTATCTTGTTTGTTTGTTTATTTATTTATTTATTTTTTACTTCTTCGTGCGAAGTAAAGACAGCATTGTAATCACAGAAAATTCTGGGTATCATATTTTGATGAAAATATACATTTTGATTGCTATCGAATACAATTTGAAGACGTTTTTGCGTGTCATCTGTACATAAGGACAGAATAAAAGGCTCTTTTTCTCCAAACAGATTATAAAATTGATTTAAAATGGATTCAGGAGAGATTTTTTTCGTGATGTCTGTTAGTATGTACATATCTCGCGTAACTAAAAAATGAGTAGCCTCAGAACATTGAAATTTGTCTATAGGACTGCTATAACATGCAGTTGTGCATCTTCCTTTTTGGTTACAATCGGCTGTACCAAAAGTACATAAATATATATGTATATATTTTAAAGACGTTTAAAACTATGTAAATTAAAATTTTTAAAAGAGACAAATCTGCACTTTGTGCTGCAAGATTAAAAATTACGAAAATAATAATAAAAATAAATAAATAAATAAATAAATAAATAAAAGGGGGGAACGCAAAAGAATAAAATTCCGTACTAAAAATTTGAAGGTTTCTTTAGGTTACACAATAAACTGGTAGAATGCAAATTAAAGAAAATTACAAAAACAAAATAAAATATTCACTTCAAGGAGTAAAATCATACGAAATATAGGAAATTCGTACATAACAAAACAAAAATATTATAAAAATTTTGATCTTCTCTGATTAGTGCTTTAAACAGAAGTTGTCAACGGAAAAATGTTTTGAAGCCTTAAACCAAGTTCATTAATGACTGTCGAATGCATGTTTTGTTTCTCTGAATCCCTTGAGACTCCAAACTGCTTTTTATTGATCAAACTTTCACATAAAAAAAAGTTTATTTTAAAAGTCTAAAAAAAATTCAGGTCTTTTCCCTACACGCATTCGTACTCATACAGTACAAACATTCATATACAAATGCAAAAAATTAAAAAATCTGAAGAAGCCTAAAAAGGCTAAAAAGTAACTGAATTCAACACAAAATTAAAAATAAATTCTGATTCCAGAATTAATGAACCCACTCTGTCACTCGGCGAATTCAGTTTCTTATATTCTTATAGATTGGTAAATTATGCATTTTTTACTTTAAAAATGATTGAATTATGTGATTCTTAACTTTCAGTTAAGGTTTTTAAGTTTACAGTTAATCTGCATGCAAAAGTTGTAGAATCATCAACAATTGACAAGTTGTTTATGTGCAGCTAAGCCTAATTTTTGTTTATCATAGAAGCCATATTTGTTTACATTTGAAACAAAGCAGAATGGTGAATTTAGTTTCTGCACCTTCAATGTTTTTCTATTGAGTGGGACCAAAAATAAACCTTCAGTTTTCAGCACTGAAAAATCTGCCTTATTTGTTGTCTGCCGGCCAAATTGCTGTTTTTGCATAGAACTCTAATTTTAAATGTAAAAATTGTTTTTTTAATTGTTTTAACTGTATTTGGTGTTTTATTTTTTTTCTACATTTTTAAATTTTTAATGAAGATATTTTGAGGTTTTATGCATTTTTACCATACTGCAAAGTGAGAACTCAATTAACTGAACGAGAAATCTATCTCTAATGAAATTTGATGAAACACATTTAAAGAAAATGCAGCAAAAAATGCGTATAATTTAATATTCCATACAAGGAAGTCATGTGGTGTCCTCATCAGACTTTTTTTAAGAACTCAGAAGTAATAATAGGTCTTTAGGATAAATATTAAATTAACTTACCAGCAAAACACTTCAAAAAAATAACCTCAATTTGTACCTAAAAAATCAGTGCCATGCTAGACGGATTAAAAAAAAAAAAAAAAAAAAAAAAAAAAAAAAAAAGACCACCAACATAAAATTTTGAAGTTAATATCCTTGAATAAATATATTTAATAGCAGGGCTGAACCATTATGCTTTTGAGAAAATGCTAGCTTACTATGTATCAAGTGCCTTTTTATTATTTTACAACTCTGACCAAGATTCAGAATGGCCACTTTCAGTGGAAGAATGATGTTCATATCCCCTTTTCAATAAGCAGCAGATTCTACTACAACACATGCTTAACACAGGGTTCGTACACATTTCTGGACATGGAAATTAAGGACCATTAATGAAAAAATTAAGGACCTATCAGCAAATAGGAGCTAAATAAATTAAATTCAATCAGCTTATATCTGAACTTCCCTTTTATAATAACGTTCTGAGAATAAATAGATCCGTAAATAGGAAGCATTCTTATTAAACATAATTTAATAAACATAACAAAAATAAATTTGAGAATTGAATCCACTTTATAAAATTTATCAAGTAGAATTGGATATTTTACAGGTATAATAGTTGGACATATTTCAAAGAAGATTACGGACATTTTATTTACATGTTGATAAACATACAGCTTTATGTTGATCTTTTCTTTTATGTCTCATTTTGCCATGTACTTACTCAGTCTAGAAGTTTACTAAATAGCAGGTAGATTTTATGTCAAATGGCAGAGATTAAAATGAGAAAGTGCTGCTGTTTGCTGAGAGAGAGACCTGTTGATCAGAAAAATCCTGAAAGCCTGATGTAGGCACAGCTGGCAAGTTTTGAAAGTTAGTTGTGCTTTGTCTGTCTGAAGCAGTTAATGTTGTACCTTCATAGAGAGTTTCTGGGCTTGTAACCTGGTTAATATATTTTAAGGCTCCAATAAGTTGTTTTGTATTATTTTAAGTCTCACTAGATGCAAAAAATAAGCTTACAATAGTTTTTACATTTTTGTGCTGTATCTTGTGGCCACAGTAATGATTAATGAAAAGCAATAACTTGCTTTAATATGCAAATAACTTTAAAAGGTGAGCAGTTAGTTATAACAAATTAAATTAGGTAGTTAAATATCCTTAGTCGTTAATAGATTTACATGACCACTACTAAAATCACAATCTAATAACACTTCACAGTTTAAAATACGTGTAATGTATGACACTGATTCTTAAACAGTATTAGGATAATTGCACATTAAAAGTTATAAAACAAAATATTTATGCATCTTTTTAATTCGAAGTGTTCCCAGACATTTTGGCTAATTTATATCAATTTTCTTCTCTTTAAACATTTTTTCTAGTAATTAGAAATCTGTTTCAATATACAAAACAATTTTCCCACTAGTTTCTGTGTGCATTATTGCCTAACTTGCCAATCTCTCAACAGTGTACCTAATGAGGTTTTACGTAATCTGGTAAAAGTTAAATAATCTAAAACCTCTGATAGACATGAAACGAATTATTGTTATGTCTGAAGGTAACTACCGCGTCACATAAAGATTTAAATAAACCTCTTATTTAAAAAGAACTTTGCACATACAGGCACATTCTTATGTTGACAAAATAAACTACAGCAATTAAAAAGGAACAGTCAAATCCCAACTAAAAATGTGGACTACACAATTTAAATTTAATCTAAGGTGGCTCAATAACTTTATTTTAGTAACAAATTCAAATATTAGCAATGATAATGCAAAGATGAATAATTACAAATTATCAGAGCTGGCAGGAACTAAGGCAACATCCAAAGTGAAGGGAAAAAACATTCTGTCTTACAATCCAAAAATCTCAGTTTAAAAACTATCTGATTTGCATTATGGTAAGGAAAGGGAAAGTTATAGTAAAGGCTAAAATTCTAAACAACTGATTAATCTGCATAATAATAACTGTACATATCTTTGAAGAATAATTTCCTTCATCTTTATGCATTCAGTTTCTTTCAATATGTTTCCTGTTCACTTTAGAATTTTTGGAATTAAAGATTTATGTTATTCTAAAAAACCAAATGCATTTAGAATATAAAGAAAAAGCTGCTAATTTTTATTTCTTTAGTAATATGAACATTCAGAATAAATATGAAATGGTATGTGGTAAGGGCTGGTTTCAGAGCCGATGAGGCAAAATTTCTAGATTTTAGTGACACACCGAGCAAAAAAAATCTAGAAATGGCAAAACTTTCAGAATTTAGGAGAGCATTAGGCAGCATAATTTATGAAGACACTAGGCTGCAGAATTTAGTATCCACAGAGATTTCATCAGGTGGGAAAATGCCCAGCGCCAGCCCTGTGTATGATCCGTTAAGGTGAATCGTTTAAATTGTCAGTTTTCAATTTCTTTATTAATAGAAAATTCTGTTTTATAAATGCTTTATTAATTACTATTATAAAGAAATTTTTTTTAAATTTCTATATTAATAGAAAATTCTTTTTATAAATTTATATATATATTTTTTTAATTACACACGAAAAGATTAGGAACATCTTTTGTGTGTAATTAAAAAAAATATATATATAAATTTAAAAAAGAATTTTCTATTAATATAGTGTCATGCTTGTGTCTAGTGAAAACTTGAGAAAATAAAGAGAAGATAAGCATGTTAAGAAAAGACTTCTAGCATCAGACATTCAAACATTATATTTTCATTGTCCTTCCAAAAATTCTTCATAACGTAAGAAATTCATCATAAAATATCTGTAATATACATCCATTATGTGTTAATATAATGAAGATATTTTTCATTTTGTCACATTTTTCTGGAGCTTTCTAGAATTGTGGGTCTATAAATCTTGCCTTCAAATCCTTCGAAACTTTACAAGTTGCAAGGTCTAAAATCCTAAAGAAAAATTATCCCTACCAATTCTGCAATAGAAAAAAAGGCCAAAAATATTTTGAAAAAAAAAAAATCAGTGGAAAAAAGTGCGAAATTAATTTTATAGAGAAAAGTGATGCATATTCTGGTAATTCTGAAACAATTACATGGGAAAACTTCTTACCATGAAAAAGTTAAAAAGAAATTTTCAATTAATTACATAGCTATTTGGCTTTGAATTGCTTTGTAAACTGTGCTTTATAGCATTTATTACCTTGTTTATTTTCCATATTCAAAATACTATATAATAAGTTGCCAAAACGGAAAGTAATGTCTCTTCCTAATATGACAGCAAAAAAATACAAATGTTTTATTTTAATGTTATTTCTTAAATATAATTTCAATATATTGCCATTATTTAATTCAATATATTACCATTAATTTATCAATGTTCTAATGTTTAAAAAAAAAAAATTGTCGAAAAATTCCCAGAACCGTACAAACCCTGTTAACATTTAGTTTCAATTCTGGTAACAGTTTACAAAACAGAAAGATATTCCTAAACAATTGACCCAGTTTGCATAAATATACCTTATTAATAAATAAATAAGACTCGCATATTATAAGAATATAATGATTTTGAAAATACAGTAATTTTCTGAACAGGTAATACATATGTATATATTTAAAAAAATTAAGATTTTAAAACATACCCTTTATTTTCAGCTGGTGTTGCATCTGATTTTCTATCTTCTTTTTCAGCTGCAAACAGATATGGATTACATATAGTTACAAACAAACTAACTACGGCAGCTACAAACTGTTACTAGACATTTTTAAAGTTTGGTTATTAAGCACTGTTACACAGCAGAAAATCATCTTTAATAAAACCTACAGATGGTGTAAAGTGCAAGCTGCAGATGATTAAAAACTATTGCTCTAAAGAATGAATCTGAAAACAACTCCAGAAATGAAATGTTTTGTAAAAAATAATAAGGACCAATGGCCCAAACAAATTTCAAGTTTTGAGCCATAGCTTTTTCTTAAGGAAGCCACAGCTAGTGGAAACTTGGCACCTTTATTTTAGAGCTTGTATATTTGAGATATTTTTGAAGAGTTTGCTTTAATAAATGCATCTCCTCCTGATAATAAGCCCTATGTATTATAAATATTCTATAGAATTTCAGCATTTAGAAGTAAAATAATATACATATATATATATATATATATATATATACAATTTAAATGAATTTTTTCCCCCTATACACATTTTTGTCTTCAAACTGAATGACATTTAGAAGTTCATTTACCAATTATCACAACTCATCATAAGCATTCACAAGTACTTCCGAGAAAAGGCTAAGCAACAGAATTAGATTAAATACACGCTAATGTACACTAATCCAAAAGACGAATGGTGCTGCGCATCTGACTATATTCTACGATGAATCTAAATGCCACATCTAAATTTCTATGAGTAGTGGTTCAGTGATAATTCTATGTTCAAAATACTTAATCTAGTTTTAAAGCGAATTTATTAAAATACCAAATAAATGATCTAGAATCAAATCTAATGTTACATATCAGCAGCACTCGAGCTGCATCAATCAAATCGTCAAACAAGTTCTGACTGTTGTCATTCCAAGGCAGAGAAAAGTTTCTATTCAAACCAGAACAGGTCCTTAAGTACCAAGTCTTCATCAATAGCTACAACAGCAACCAAGAAAACTTTTTATAAATTTAACAAATTCCTAAATCTAAAATTGTGTAATCTTTTTTAAGTCAATCCTGGACATAGGTGAAGGAGCATGATGTCTCATTTCAGCATTTCTCACTCCAGGTTTTTAGGGGTGGGAATAAAAGTCTTTTTTTTCCCTTTTTCATGTGTTCAGGATGAAAAAATCAAAACTCCTGTCACTTCAGCCTTTCTTCTGTCTATAGCATGGAAATATACTCTGTCATTTTTTAAATAATTATCTTTAAAATCTTCTCACTCTTTACTTTAAATGCAGAAATTCAAAAATAAAATTAACATATTTTAAATAAATTGTTTGTTAAATAAGGAAAAATAAAAAAAGAAGAGCTTTTAAGGTTGGTGGAGAAAATTTATTTCAGCTAATGCAAAACATTCTATAATCTTGAAACTAATACTCTGGCAAAAATTCGTAAAAAAATCCATTTCTCTATATGACTCTTTCATGATGAAATCAACATATTTAAAAAAAAAATTAGTGAAATAATGAATATATTTTATTAAAAATTATTATAGCAATATCACTTATGATTCTTTTAGGTCTATGGAATATTATATTAGATTTAATATCACTTCATTCCAAGATATTTTTGATTTTTTCCTTTTATTAATGTTATAGAATTTAAAAAATATTTTTGCCATTATTATGCTTTAGAAATTGACTTGACTTTATCTCAAGATAACACTGAATTGTATTTAAATTAAAAAACTAATTTTAATGTATTAGATACTATCACAAGTGAGATTAGTATTGTATCTAAGCATCTTCTGAATATGAAGATTTAGGTACGGACTGCCATCATCTCATTATTTCAAACATATTTCACAATCATATGATTCTCACTACTTTTTCAGATTTAGCATTATAGAAAAGTTGAAATGGAACAATTTTTAAAGTCTTATCTAGGAAAGCCCGACATAGGACATAACTAAAAGAAGTATCCTGATGAAAAATTTTTGAATTTCAAGGATGTAAGAATCTGATGAATTAATTATCCAGAGCATCAGAAAACTGAGACTAATTTGCTACAATCTTCCCTGCATTTTGTACCACCATGGATAATTATGTCTACAAAGGCATGACTCATATTTAAGTGTATGGCAGTTCTATCTGTAGTCTGTAGACATAGATTCACTGCTTATTCTGCTGGTTCGTTATGTTATTTGCAACTCTAACCAGTACCTCCCTTGGGTGTTTATCACTGCCCTTTTGACTTCCATTTTTTAAATCTTGCTATCCATTCATACACTTATCCTTGACTTACAGAAAACTGTCTTCATAGTAAAACTTCTTTCAACTAGAGATCTGGAAAGATTCCACACTCTCTGATTGGGGTGAGAAGGATACTTCTGTTGTTTTTCCACAGTGCAAGGCCAGGTTACACAAACTAGTGAATTGCTCAAGCATCATGATCCCCAAATGAGTTTCTTGTAAAACTTCAGATTTAAGATTCTAAAACATTTTTTTTCATCTGGAAATAAGATTTTACATTCTGAATTATAATTCTTTTCTTGGGGGTGGGGGGTACTTTATATACACATTATCATCCATGATATCTTGTTGATTTAAAAAATATTTTACCTATAAAAATTTCATTATCAACTCACATCTCAAGCCCCACTATGTTAACTGTACCAGAAATATTATTCTATTTCCTGATAATAAATGGCTAAATAAAAACTCTTACACTATAACACACTCAATTCTTATTATATGTGAGATTTATTTACCAAATGCAAAAAACATTTTGATTACTTTGAATTAGTTTTTAATCTAGATGGGAAGTGTACTATGCTCAATGGATTCTCAAATCTGCTTTGCAGCTCTTCCAAATATTACAGTAGTTTAATTTACTGCAATACCATATTCACTAATTTTCAGGATTCAAGAAGTAATCTCCTTTCAAAATCATTTTACTCCTCTTTTTATGAATAAATTAGTTACATTTATAAGTAAAAAACATTTTCAATTAACTTACTTTTAATATCTGCTTCCTTTTTAGCATCAACATCATCATTCTTATGTTTCTTTTTAGGGCGATGAGAACGGACATCTCTACGACCATCTCCTTCATCTTCACTATCAGAAAATTCTTCATCACATGCAATTCTTTTTTCTGAAGCTCGTATGCTGATACGCTCATCAGGATTCTCCTTATCTTCATCTTCACTTTCATTATCAATTGCATCTTCTGGAATAGCTGTTGGAAAAAGAGAATATGACAGAAAAGTGACTATTTACATGATAACAAAATTAGAACAATATTATATATAAGTAATCTTATCACAAGCCTAAATTTTAATTATGAAAAGAGCAGATGTTAAATACTTATTTGCACATTTCCTCCTTTGAATAATATTATATATAAGTAACCTTGTCACAAGCCTAAATTTTAATTATGAAAAGAGCAGATGATAAATACTTATTTGTATATTTTTCCCTTTTAGAACTTAAATAAGCCAGCAAAATTGTAATAAAAAATTACCTATAAGCATATATGGGCCTCTTCAAAAAATGTTATTGCATATTTCTGAATTTAAGCCAATCTATATGTAAACCGAAAAGAAAAATTTTGCCGCGAAAATTTACCAAAACTGGGAGGGGGGGACCTATCTAATAAACCTAATTTCAAACTGTCCTCTGAATCCAGTTATATATCACCAAAAGTTCATAACTGGTCATCTAACTTAGCTACGACCATTACACAAACTGAATAGCCCTCATTTACTTGGGAAATCTTCTAATCATTTAAAAACAGACAATCAGCAATTTTGGCTTAAGCCGCGGACGAAATTAAAATGCCATTATCTACATGTTATGGATGATGGATGAAGCTGAATGATGATTATCTACAAGGTGAATAGTAGCAATGCGAATGCTGAAATGGAATACCATTTGCATGGATTTGACAATAGCAGAGAGTGATTTCCAAGAATTGTAAGTAAAGTCCAAGTGAGATACTGTTATTCAGAAATCTCATTAATTCATGTTAGTAAAATAAAAATATGTTCTCAATTATTCAATTTAGTGATCAAATTAATTGCAAACCATTTGCAACTTGTATATAAGCCCACAAAAAAGCTTCAGTAGCCAAAATTTGAATAACTGCAATTTATCTGCAAATAATGCATATTGAATATTGCCTCTGACCCATAATAATAGTAGCAAGTGAATACTTAAATGGGAATTACTGATGAATACAGATGTAAGTTTTCTTGTAGCACAAAATTCTGAAGCCGTTAATCAAAATCAATGTTTCATGGGTATCCATAATTTGTTTTAAACCTTCTTTCAAGTTTAGGCTACTATAATTATTACAAATTATAACTAATTTTCTAATTTCATCTACTAAAAGAAATCGATTGTTTAATTTCTGCCGAATATTAACCCAAGTAAAGTAAAATGGGAGGGGAAAAAAAAAAGGAGAGAGAGAGTTTTCAAGCAATGATTGAGTTGAGGTGCAGTAACGTTAGCTGCAAAACAATTTAAGTGCAACAGAATGACCATATCAAAAATTTGGAAACATGCTTCTGAAAATAATTGTCAAGGTAAATCTTATGATTCTTTGAAACAAAACTGTGGAGGAAATGCCAAGATTATGAAGAAAAACTTGAATTTTTCTTAGCAGAAGAGGCATCTTTAGCCTTTGATAAATATTTCTCCCGATATAATGGATAATATGTTTCTGTCACTTCAATAAGTTATGCTGAAAGCAATGATGAGTGATGGCTCCAATACTTTTAGCTCATGCATATAGGAAAAGCAAAGCTTTGTCACTAAGAGATCCTATCTACAAATTCAAAATGCAGTACAGTACAAAGTCCGAAATCCGGACTGTTCGGGACTTCGGTGATTCCGGACTTTTCTGGATAATAGATAATCAATCTAAATCTGGTAAGACGGCATGCAGAAATTATACAATGAAAAATATGAAATCGTAATTTATGAAATAAAGAACAATTATGATCTAAAGGCTATCAAAAATTTAAAAAAAAAAAAAAGACGAGAGAGAGAACTAATCTTTGTTTACTATTAAACAATTCTTTCAATGCAATGTTTAAGATGCTTCCACAAAAAATTCAAATTCCTTTTCAATTTTGTGTTTATACAGGGGATTTCCAATGCCATACTCCTCGCATAATTTTGAGATGGATATCTTATCCATTTTTTGCAGCAATTCCACTTTTTGTTTAACGGATATCGAAACATGGTTTCACTTTCCTGATCCTTTGGCAACTCAAGAATTGGAAACTCTTTTTGACTTTTCGAAAGTTCAAGCTTAGTTTTTGTAAAATTGCCATAATAATAGGCAGTCTGCAAATTGTCCTGCTCCTATTGCATATAGAATTAAGCCTGAATTGTATTAGTTTAGTTGTTTACTATGTTTATTTCTTCCCATGCTTTTATTTATTGCACATGCTTCGAACTAATCCGAGTCCTGAATAAATAAACTCCCACATATACTTAAGGCTTTATCCAGGGTCGATGCTCGATAACGCCTGGTGCAGTCTCTACGGGTCCTAAATTCTGCTACAAAGTGGTTTCCCAAGTTCTAAATTTTCACCGTGCCTAAACTTTGGATCCCAGTGCTTTTCCCAAATCAGAAAAACTTCTCATCCCTTAATTTTGCTGCTCGGTGCTTCTTCAAATTCCAAAAATTTTGTCTTCCCTAAATTCTGCTGTCCGGTGCGGCAACATTCTGCCACCGCTTCTGGGTTTGTGGCGAATAACATATCAGTTATTCTTAATTAAAATAGCACTAAATATAATCTTTTGGCCTATGAGTTTTATTAACAAAATCTATTTTTAGCATATGAAAATAATTTTTGTTTGAATTTTCTCTCAACATTTTTAGAGCATTTAAAATCTATAATCAGCGCCAAGCGTATGTTAGATAGAAGGTGCCATACTCGTGTTATTCAATTACTAATAAAAAAAATTTTAGTATTGCTAAACATGCGGTGATGAAAGCAAAATATAATAAATAATGACTCGCCAGGTCGGCATCAGGGATATAAAAAAATAGGTTAATGTTTCGGTTTGAGATGTATGCCGAAGTAGATACTCAGCTACGGAGCCAAATTACTAACCTCAGAAATTTATGCTTACATGATTGTTTTTCCAAAACGAGGTATTTTATTTAGTGCCTAAGTGAAATTAAGAATCAGAATTTTTAAGTGAATATCTCCCCATGCTTTATTATGGAAGGAAAAATCAAATGTGCATGTGTAAAGCATTAATTAAAAAAAAAATATTTGTGGCTTTGAGGTCCGGATTTTAGATTATTCCGGATAATGGACGTACGGATTTCAGACTTTGTACTGTACACTCAAAATAAAAATTAGGAGCAACATTTTAAATTTAATGTTTAATTTAATCTAGTGTTTTAATAATAAATATTGCATTCCATATTTATTTACTTCTGTTAATATTATTATGGGACATATTAAATTCATCAGTTGCTACTATTATTATGGGATAGAAGGAGTATATGTTAGCTTCTGAAACTTCTGTACATACATAAAAGAATTACTCTTTTCTTCAAAAAAATGAAACTAAATTCTCAATCTCATTTAGTATTTCAAAAAATTGTTAAACTGATGCCACTTAAAATTTTGCATGGATGCTTTAAAATCTTCTTAGGAATAATACATATAAGTTTCATTTAAGAAGGGTAAATACATATTTTTATTGACAGAATTAAAAAGGAAAATTTATATTTTGCACGTGTCTCTTTTATATTGAATTCCTTCATCTTAACTTGGTATTTTACATGCTACCATAACTTAGGGAAAGATAAAAAAGGCAATACTTACGCTGCATTTGAACTCCTGGAGCATGAGGTAGCATTCTTAAATTTTCAAATAATCTAGTCCTATTTAAATTAAAGATAAAAAAAAAAAAAAAAAAAAAAAAAAAAAAAAAAAAAAAAAAAAGGATTTTTTTAGTCATGACATGAAACAAAAGGCACACTCTTTTGGAAAAAAAAAAAAAAAAAAAAATCGAAGCACCATGAAGGAAATGGTTATTTTTTATGCAGCTGAATATGTGTATAGCTTATATACAGATAATAAAATGATTAAAAAATCAAGGTCATATTACGTGTTCACTGCTTGCAGTCACCCATTGAGTGTTCAAATTAGTAGTTGGTCGAACCACCCCTGGCAGCAGTGCGTGCTTGAATTCGTCGAGGCAAGGAGTGGTAGAGGTACCTGCAAAGGTTATCCTGTCATCCCCCAGGCATTCATCAGTTGTTGCTCCAGATCTGCGATATTTTGTAGGGCTCGAATCTGGTGGCCTACCATGTCTCAGACAGGCTCAATTGGTGAAAAGTCTGATGACCTTGCTGGCCAAGAAAGAATATCAACCACATGGTGACAGTCTAGAGATATACGAGCAGTATGTGACCTGGCATTATCTTGTTGGAAAATGGTCCCGCAATGACCGGCCATGAAGGGTAATGCAACCGGCCGTAGGATGGTATCACATATCGTTGAGCTGTTAAAAAGGTCAAAGGATGACGAAAGAGACCTGCTGTCATAAAAATAGCACCTCAAACTATCACACCAGGGTTTATGGCTGTATGCCTT